ATAATCCAATGTTCTGGAGTGCATGTGTCGCAGGCAGGACCCAGGTTCAATCTCCAGCACCAACTGCATGCTCCCCTCAGGCATCACCAGTTAGCCCCTGAGTTCCTTTAGGTGTGGATCACCCCAATGAAAATAAAACAGACAGAAATTTTTTAAAGGGCTTGAGGTGTGGTTCAATGGTCAAGCACTTCCCCTGCGTGTGTGAATCCCAGTCCCTCATGGTCTTCTGAGAAACACCAGGAGTAAAGCATGTTCTAAGCCAGGAGTAGCCCCAGAGAACTGCCAGATGTGGCCCAAAATTTCCAAAATAATGTTAATTTTAAATAAATAGGGACAGAAGGGGAATTTTTATGTATATTTTATTTCCATAACTCTGAGTACTTGTCTTGTGTCACCTGATAGATTACAGGTTCCTTGTGTGTTAGAGTTACTTGAGAAGCACAGGAAAATAACAAATATCTGCCTGACTATGCATCAGGAGGTGCTCATTTTGAATGTTAGATTCTTCATAGCATTCCTGTATGTCATTAGGAATTTTTTTTTCTGACATCAGCTTTCATGAAAAGTTATTTCTCTCATTGAGAAGTAGCAATCAGCAATCCTGAAGGGACAAAAGAGACAGTATAACAAAGAGGGGTACAAACACACAAACACAGTCATTGAAATTAAAAACTAGTTCATACTCATCCAGTTACTAGCTCTATAACCTTGAGCTGTCACTGTCACTGTCACTGTCCTCCCGTTGTTCATCGATTTGCTCGAGCGGGCCCAGTAATGTCTCCATTGGAGACTTTGTTGTTACTGTGTTTGGCATATCGAATACATCGCGGGTAGCTTGCCAGGCTCTGCCATGCGGGAGAGATACTCTCGGTGGCTTGCCGGGCTCTCGGAGAGGGGCAGAGGAATCGAACTCGGGTCGGCCATGAGCTAGTTATTTATATTTCTTTGAATCGCAACAAGTCAATGAGAGAGTAAATGTCTAAGGGACTTGACTTACCAACTGCCAACTCCAAGCTGGATCCCCAGCACCAAATATGGTCCTCCCAAGCCCTTCCAAGAGTGACCCCTGAGCATCAAGCAGGGAATTGCCCCTGAGTACTGCTGGGTGTGATCCAATAATTCCCCTCCTGGGAAAGAGGGATAGGACAGACACACACAAAAAGCTGAAGATAACATTTCTTGTTTGGGCGTTGATATGAGAAATAAATAAGATTATATATTTAAATGCTGAACAAGGAACCCAGCACACAAAAAGACCTCAAAAAATGTAGCTTAAAAATCACTTCCCCTTAAGTTCATGAAATCACAATAAAACCAGGAAAACACATTAAAAAACAATGGACAAACATTCCTCATCCCACTTATAAATAATAGCTGAATTACTTACAATTCTCTCCCATTTTTCCTACAGAGGAAGATTGAGTACAAAGTCCCAAGACCTTTATCAAATTGATGTATAGAACAAAGTTACAAAATAATTTCTATATCCCCCACAACACTAAGATTAGAATAAAAAAATCTAAGAATGTTAATGCCAAAAGAATGCTTAGAGATCAGACCAAACCTCTTATCCCATAGCTGAATAACCTAAACCCATGAATCCCAGAATCTCCCAGGATTTCTTAAAATATGTATTATTTCTGTCCCCTACAACCTTCCCTCTCCCCTCTACCCAACAACCTCTTCCAATATCCCATCAATGAAAAATAGTGACTTAAATTGTGCAAAAATATTTTGTGTACCCAAACTCCCTGGGAAAGCTCCTTGGGACTAGGACTGTATCGCTTATCTCTGTCTATGAAAAAGCTAATACATACAGTTCTCTGCTCATTCACAGAATATTTTTCGGGACATTATTTCTTATGTTCTCCACTTCAGTCTGCAGCTGTGAGGGAGCCTTAAAAAATATCAACAGGAAAAGGGCCAAAGTGTGACTGTTTCGATGGCAACAGTTGTTATCTTTACTTTCCCACCCATCCACTTGTCTCTGGGGTCAGTACACTTTCTTTTGGTTCTTGGTTCTAAAAGGTAAGAAGAAATGTAACTGAAGAGTACTCATGAATCCAGACACAAAAATACAAAGATAATTTTGAGCATGATCCAGTTCTAAGGATTTATAAGCAGACTAAAGTCCTGGTAAGCATTGAGAGACCTTGAAGAGCAGCACAACGAACAAGCTAGAAGGAGGACAAGATTTCAAAAGGCAGAAACTCAGTGCATTGTCAATAAACATGCTGAGTCTTCACCCCATCAGCAACCACCCAGAAACCTCAATTATTTAGCCACCATGTTATCTATATGTAAATACTTGGAGTCTCCCTCTCTCTCCTCCCTCCTCTGCCCCCGCTTCCGCGCCACCTCTGGGGCCCACCCAGCTATGCTCAGGGCTTACTCCTCACTCTGTACTCAGGGATCACTTCTGACAGATGATAGATACATGGGGTTCCAGGGATCCAGCCTGGTTCTGTTGTAAGAAAAACAAGTGCCGTATATACTCTGGCTCCAACTGGAGCCTCTCTTAACTTTTCTACTTTCCTTGTCCTTTGTGTAATCTATCCTAAAAGCCCATCAATTCTTTTCACTATCCAGATACCATCTTGTGGTTTTGAACAGCTACATGCAAGTCAAAACCCTTTCTACTCCCCAGGCAGGACTTACTATGAACTCCCAAGAGGTTTCCCTGTCAAACCCCTTCTTTTCACTTCATGCATACCACAGCCTAGGGTCCTAGGTTACACCAAAGCTGTCCCAGTTTGAGCACTGAGTCTCACGCCCTAGGAAAATCCTTGCTTCCAGACTACTGGGACAATTGGTCACCTTACCATGTTCAGATTAAAATTTTCTTCCAAACAATATTTTGGTCATGTCATTTTCCTGACAAAAATGTTTTCTGATTCCCATTTCTCACTAAAAGAAACTCTCAGAAAGACTGCACTCATCTGGGGAATATGAAGTAACAAAATGGGAGATGAACACCCAAGAATAGTTGAGATAAGTACCAGGAGGTCTGCTCCACGGCTTGGAAGTTGGCAGTACATGCTGGGGGAAAAGCAGCTCAGATAGAGAAGGGAACACCACGTAAAGGATGTTTGGAGGATTCGCTCGGGATGTGAGATGCGTGCTGAAAGTAGACTATAGACTGAACACGATGGTCACTCAATATCTGTATTGCAAACCACAACATCCTAAAGGAAAGAGAGAGCAAAAGAGAGAGCCCTGTCACAGAGGCGGGGTGAGGCAGGGGGATGGGGTGTGGGGGAAGAGCTACTGGGATCATTGGTGGTGGAGAATGGGCACTGATGGAGGGTTGGGTACACGATCATTGTATACCTGAAACCCAAGCATGAAAGTTTGTAAGTCTACAACTGTACCTCACGGTGTTTCACTAATAAAAAAGATTGATTAAAAAAATAAAATAAATTCTCAAGAAGACCTCAAAACTGCCTTTAAGAATGTAAAAAAAAGTATCACAGGCAGGGATAAAATGATAGTGGTTCTAGGACTGGCTTTAGTCATACTCTTAAGAATCTTTGGCAAGTCCATCTAGCTGATCCCGAGTTTCTTTATCTGTAAATGAGGAAAACCAACTCTTCAGCATGTCACAAACATCCTTTAATTCCATTCTTCTATTAAACTCTATGTTGTATCCACAGTTGCCTACTCACTCAAATTTACCAACTCAACTCACTCAAATCCTATAAATTCTCTATACTTTTAGTCTTTCCTTTCTCCCTGACAGAATCTCTCTGCCTTTTTTCAACCCACCTGAATACGCGAAGGAACAATACTTCCTAAGAATGTCTGAATGGAATCCTTAAAGACTCCATGCGCACCCAGGATCATAATACTTGTACTTCTTATGAACATCGCACCTGGATTTCCACAACTTGTTTTACGTAAAGCTTTATTTCAACTGAACTAAAAAAGTTCCCTGTACTTTTGTGACTCCCTTGAAGAATCCTGAATATAGTCAATATCAGAAAATGTTTTTACTAATAACTGATGTTTGGATATAGAGGGGGAAATACAATAAAGGATTTTATCTTTAGATGTAAGACAAAAGGAAACATGTATAAATCTGGAGCTATTTTTCACCTCCAATAAGAATCTCAATGACTTCGTAACTTAATAATTCACTTACTACAAATATTTGCATAGAATTTTCTATACTTAAAATACTTCTGACATAGCAAGAGTACAACGACAGGGGACAAATGGAGGTTCAGGTCCGATAGCGTCTCATTACAGATGTGAGAGCACCTATTCTCCGTCAACTCCAACTTGTTTTGTTTCATTTTAGGGCACCCCAGCAGTAGCAGGATTGTAGGTCACTACAGCCATACATACTCAGGAAACCGCCTTCAACTTTCAGTAAGAATTGACTAAATGATAAAATGGCAACATCCTATGATCAAAACTGGGCAGGAATGGACTTCTACAACAGCCGCAGAGTTCATTGAGAAAAAATCAAAATAGGCCAACAGATTGAAATACACATATCTATCTACATAAGCAGAACATAAGACTGAAACAAATATTTTCTGGGAATTATATCTAGTCATACACCTAGAATTGCTAGTTCCTACTTTGACAAATTTTTGTAAGTGACTATATTGGTAATCATCTTAAGTACAATTCAACTTTTGTCTTCCATTAGTCTTGGTATGTGACATATTAAGGATGAATTCAGCTTCTATCTAATGGGACCCCCCCCAAGCATGCACGCATACATGCTCACACTCCCTTAATTAAATGGGGTTGGGACATGAAGAGTGTCATCTACCCCAAACAGGTTTGTGAGCAAGTGGGGGAAATAAGTCAACCAAACGGTTTGCAGAAGGAGAGAGGTCAAGCTGGGATGAGTTGGGCTGGGCCGAAGTGATTCAGGCTCTGCCACAAAATGGGTGTGTTCTGGGATTGCCAAGTAGGACAATTAAAATCCCTATAAATAGGATGCATTTTCAGGTCTCCAGTATCCTCTCTGGCTTCTGAATCTTCTGCGCATCATTCCTCCTTCAGCAGGTAAGCCGGGCAAGGGGGGAATGGCAGTATCTATGAGGTTTTAAAGGCGCCTGTGATGGAATGGGCTCCGGAAGTCTGAGACTATTCCCAGTCGGTGAGAGTTTTGGGAATCTTACTGATTCTTTTTTGCTCGATCTGAGATTATGATGTATGGAGTGGTCTACTTGTAGTCTGTAAAATCTACATGTTTTATTCCGTATCCTCGGTACCCCAAAACTAAGGACTAGAACTATTGGTGGAAAGTTTCATCTCCCACGGAACATTTCATTTTCATGCAAATTAAGTAAGACCCAAAATTTTTAATTCATGAGAGCCCAGCTTCTGGACGATGGGGCCACAGAAGCATTCAAGTCTTGCTATTAGGAATTGACATAAGCATCTTATCTTGCCTCGTGTAATTCATTAGTTATAACTTAGTCTTGTAGAAATCACTGTATACTTTGGAACGTGCAGTGAACTTTGCAATTAGGAGTTTGGTTTGGGGGCCTGTAAACTTAGTAACTGTAATTGTCACAGTATAAGAAGAAAAGTTGCTATTGAGATACAAATCCTCAAAGACCCAAACCTCCCATATGCCAATGTGAACCTAGGTTATGGTATATGTCCCCTGTCATCCGTGTAGCTTGTTGGCTTATTTTATTTTTTATTTTATTTATTTATTATTGAAACATTGGCTTATTTTTGTCTGTAAATAGTTTTATAGTCCCTGATTCTGCTTCATACTATTTCAAAATAACCGTTCTGGCCTGAAACACTTGTTGAAATTTAGTATCGCATACAGTTTTCTTAGCCCCTATGACGGAACTCTAACTTCTGGCACTGCTTTTATGAATTTTCTGACCATTCTTCATTTTTTTCCTAATAATGAGTTTTTTAATCAATCAAGTCCTCCCTAAAGTAGAAGACAGAAAAATGTCTGCCATATTTGGATTTTAGGAAATTGCTCTCTTTTTTATAGCAGGAGACTTTGAATATTCACCTGTCTCTTACCACTGCACATTACATTCAAAGTCCCTGATAAGGACCAAAGGGACAATGGAGTGTGGCTAAAAGAAGTCTCTGTTATTTGAATTTCTTTCATAATAGAGCTGCTTTCCTTCTGAAAATACTTCTTGATCTTCATCCTAAATACAGACAAAATTTTGTTTCTTCTTTTAGGTTCACCTGTCTTTGTCAAGATGACTCAACTCCTGGACAGCATCATCAATGTGATCAAAGTGTTCCAGCAACATGCTGAAGAGGATGGAGATTGTACCTCACTCTGCAAAAAGGAGTTGAAGCAGTTGCTCTTCACTGAGTTTGGAGACAACCTCCGGGTAAGTTACAAAGACTCCAAGTCCCATGGAGTCAAGCATGAGTGACTCCGACAACTGCATACAGGACTTGATGGTTTGGTTTGGTTTGGTCTAGTTTGTAAGGAGAAGATTGGTCATGTACCAGACGATAATTAAATGAATTTCAGGTAGCTCTTTAGAAGTTTTCTTTTACTAAACATATATATGTGTATATAAACATGTGTGCACATGTTGGTGGCATGTACTTTTTCATGCTTTCATTCACACATAAACACACACACACACACACACATATGCTCCTACATGTATCTGTGCTTTAGCAGGTCAGAATAGAACTTCAAACTGAAAGAAAGCCTCAGAGCAATTATATCTTAATTTCTATTGTTTACTGTCATCCATATATCTCACTCACTCATTCATTTAATAAAGTATAGTTGATCACTTGCTTCACACCAGCACTATCCTAAGCACTGGAAATTTAGATAGGAATAAAACCAGTTTCCTGAGCATCTGGTGGGAAAGTAGTAGTAAACAAACAATTACAATACAATATGTGATGAAATACGATGGCTTCCTCAAATGACTGAAATAAATTATTAGTAAAATTATTTCAAATAAATCTACATGCTTCATATGTTGTTGTTCAGCATATGTTTTGCCAAGCAAAGGATGAGGCTCTGGGACCCATTTTTTCAAAGAGTAGATTCAAGCCTAATCCACTTCAGATTAATGGTTTTTGAAAATCCACAGGACTGAAAAAACCGGGGTACTGACAGTGGCAAACATCTAACTAGTCATAAAAGAGCAATTGACTTTTTTTCTCTTTTTGGGTCACACCCGGCAATGCACAGGGGTTACTCCTGGATCATGCACTCAGAAATCACTCCTGGCGGTGCTTGGGGAACCATATGGGATGCTGGGAATTGAACCCGGGTTGGCCATGTGCAAGGCAAACACCCTACCCGCTGTGCTATCGCTCCAGTCCAAGAGCAATTGATTTTATTCCTTATTTTATCCTCTCATAGAGGCCAAATGACCCGGAGACTGTGGAAACCATCCTGACCATCTTGGATAAAGACAGAAATGACCGTGTTGATTTTCATGAATATCTCCTGTTGGTATTCCGGTTGGCCCAAGCCTGCTTTCATCAACTGGATAATGGTTCATGTCGAAACAGAACCTCTCAGCAAGGGGAACAGGAGGGAACACAACACCATAAGTTTCCGGGAAGTACAGGTAGACCACACAGACACAGGCATGAAGAAGGAAGTCAGGACTCTCACCATGGTGAGTCTGGGAGACAAGGCAGGGATTCTCACTGTGGTCAGTCTGAGAGACAAGGCAGGGATTCTCACCAAGGTCAGTCTGAGAGACAAGGCAGGGATTCTCACTGTGGTCAGTCTGAGAGACAAGATAGGGATTCTCGCCATGGTCAGTCTGAGAGACAAGGCAGAGACTCCCACTGTGGTGAGTCTGAGAGACAAGGCAGGGATTCTCACTGTGGTCAGTCTGAGAGACAAGGCAGGGATTCTCACCAAGGTCAGTCTGAGAGACAAGATAGAGATTCTCGCCATGGTCAGTCTGAGAGACAAGGCAGGGACTCTCACCACAGTCAGTCTGAGAGACAAGGCAGAGACTCCCACTGTGGTCAGTCTGAGAGACAAGGCAGGGACTCTCACCACAGTCAGTCTGAGAGACAAGGCAGAGACTCCCACTGTGGTGAGTCTGAGAGACAAGGCAGGGATTCTCACCAAGGTCAGTCTGAGAGACAAGGCAGAGACTCCCACTGTGGTGAGTCTGAGAGACAAGGCAGGGATTCTCACCAAGGTCAGTCTGAGAGACAAGGCAGAGACTCCCACTGTGGTGAGTCTGAGAGACAAGGCAGGGATTCTCACCACAGTCAGTCTGAGAGACAAGGCAGAGACTCCCACTGTGGTGAGTCTGAGAGAGAAGGTAGGGACTACAGTTCTGGTCAAAGGTCGAATCATAACTCTAGCAGTGGTCAACCTAAAAGACATGGATATATCCTTGCTTTGAATCAGTATGAAAGTCAAGTCCAGGGTCAATATGGGCAGTCTGAAAGACTCAGACAACAATCAAGTTGTGGTCAGTATGGAAGATTTGGAGAGCACTCTTGCTCTAGTCATGTAAACCAACAGGAAACTGGCTCTTATTTTGGACAGACCGGGAGACTGGGTCAGGAATCTAGATATCGTAGACAAGGTCAAGGTTCCCTCTGTGGTCAGACAGACAGACAAGGCTTAGGATCTCAGTGTAGTCAGTCAGGAAGACAAGAACAGCGTTACCACCACGGTCAAACAGACAGACAAGGTCTGGGATCTCAGTGCAGTCAAACAGACGAGCAAGGCCAGAGTTTCCACTGTGGCCAGACAGACAGGCAAAGTCTAGGTTATCAATATGGACAGAGAGACAGTCAAGGCCAGAATTTTCACTATGGTCAGACAGACAGACAAGATCAGAGTTATTTCTATGGTCAAACAGACAGGCAAGGCATTAATTCTCCATATGGCCAGACAGACAGACAAGGCCAGAGCTATGGTTATGGTCAGACAGATAGGCAAGGGCTGAACTCTCCATATGATCGAACCAACAGACAGGGCCAGAATTATCATTATGATCAGACTGACAAACAAGACCAAAGTTATTATTATGATCAGACATACAGACAAGGTCAAGGTTATGATGGTCAGACAAACAGACAAGACCAGAGTTATCACCATGGTCAGACTGACAGACAAGGCCTGAGCTCTCAATATGGTCAATCAGTTACTGGAGGAACTGGACAAAACAGGTACTTTCAAGGGAATGAGGGAACAAGCAGAGACTCGTTTTTTGAGGAATCAGGAAGATCAAGGAGACCAAGTGGACAGACTCAAGGACAGAGATTGCAGTCTAGGGGAAGTCAGCAGAACAGCCAGCAGACTTGGGAGCTTGAGGAGCCTAGCCAACACAAATTCATATCTCAAATTCTACAAGAACAACCACTCCATCATAGTACAGGGCAGGGACAAAGACAGGCTCAGACCAGGCAGAGCTGTGGTGAAAGGCAAAATCACCAGGTAGAAGAACACAGCCATCAAAGCAGGGACAGACATGAGAGACAAGGAAGTTCATGTGAGCTGCAGGACAGGCAAACCCATGGACAGGGACAGAGCTGCCAGACAAGGGGCAGGCAGACCCATGAGGAGGGACAGAGCTGCCAGACAAGGGGCAGGCAGACCCATGAGGAGGGACAGAGCTGCCAGACAAGGGGCAGGCAGACCCATGAGGAGGGACAGAGCTGCCAGACAAGGGGCAGGCAGACCCATGAGGAGGGACAGAGCTGGCAGACAAGGGGCAGGCAGACCCATGAACAGGGACAGAGCTGTCAAACAAGGGGCAGGCAGACCCACGAACAGGGACAGAGCTGTCAAACAAGGGGCAGGCAGACCCATGAAGAAGGGCAGTGCTGCCAGACAAGGGGCAGACAGACCCATGAGGAGGGACAGAGCTGTCAGACAAGGGGCAGGCAGATCCATGAACAGGGACAGAGCTGTCAGGAAAGGGGCAGGCAGACCCATGAGGAGGGACAGAGTTGCCAGGCAATGGTCAGACAAACCCATGAAGAAGGGCAGAGCTGTCAGACAAGGGGCAGGCAGACCCATGAGGAGGGACAGAGCTGTCAGACAAGGGGCAGGCAGACCCATGAACAGGGACAGAGCTGTCAGACAAGGGACAGGCAAACCCATGAAGAAGGGCAGTGCTGCCAGACAAGGGGCAGGCAAACCTATGAACAGGGACAGAGCTGTCAGGAAAGGGGCAGGCAGACCCATGAGGAGGGACAGAGCTGTCAGGAAAGGGGCAGGCAGACCCATGAACAGGGACAGAGCTGTCAGGAAAGGGGCAGGCGAACCCATGAGGAGGGACAGAGCTGCCAGACAAGGGGCAGGCAGACCCATGAGGAGGGACAGAGCTGCCAGACAAGGGGCAGGCAGACCCAGCGCGATGAACAGAATCATCAGAGATGTGGCAGGCAAACCCATGAGATACATCAAAATTGTCAGCAACAATGGGGTAGGCAAAGCCAGGAGGAGAAAGACAGATATCAAGGAACCCAGCACCAACAATCTCATGAAACCCAGGGCAGCTGTTCTAACAGACAAAACTTCCACATGGATGAGGATATCCACAGCCACGGTTCACAGGGAAGACACAGTGACATGACCTCCCATTCACGCCAGAGTGGTGGGAAGCCCCGAGGAAGAGAACAGGGAGGGAGCCACCTTGGTATTGGCTCCAGCCCCCTCTATGACTATGTGCAAGAGCAAAAAGCACACGGATACTACTAGGTTGTGCACCGGAGCTGAAGCGGCACGTCGTCAAGGAAGAGATCTACAAGTCAAGTTATCCTTATTTCTGTTTAAGAGGCTAAAACGTGTCTTCCTCTCCTCTATTCTGTCTACCTACAAAGACGCTTTTAAGGATTTGTATTCACTTTTAGAGCATTTAGTAGAAATGTTTTGGTTTTCTGGCTGGTGAAATATGTTGGGGCAAATTGGGTGAGATAATCAGATCCCAATTTTGAGTAATTTGGGGATTTTATCATTTCCTGGCTTCCCCGCCATTAGGTGGGATATGGTTAGATCATTGAAGGGTAGAAACTTCTCCAAAAATTTTAGGAACAGAAAAGCTACTCTGAAGATAAACACTGCAGACCAAAGGCAAGACACCTGGACTTTTGTGAGCATTGGCTTATTTGGGGAAAAAAAATCAAGAAGTACAAGTCTCATCATCTACACGAAAACAAACTATATAAGAAATTTTTGGAAGAGGCAGAGACTGTAGATGACTCTGATGTTCACAACAGTTCTGTGCTTAGTCTCCTACCCGTCTGCAAAGAAACAGTATTCTGAGTTCCTATTACTTAAACTGACCAGAAATTCTATATCAATGTCTTTAATCATTTCTGAGCATAAAAAAAAACAAGAAAAAGAAAAATGCCATCTATTTTGCATATTTTAAGAAACAAAGTGCATTAATTTATAGCTCCTGATATCTGAACCCTTCACAAGATAATCCATGGAACTGTATTAAAATACCTAATAAATGATTGGTGAGCAATTAACTCCATGACTTTTTTCCTTCTTTACTGTGGAGTCATGAACTCTTCACGTGTACCCAATTTCTCAAGAAGACATCACTTCTTGATTTCAAAAAACTCTTTGTTCTTTGATTTCCTGCCTCCTCCTCAAACTAAGAATCAGTAAGAAATAAGAAATTTCAAAATGAGCTTACCTAAATATTTTTAATTCCTGCTCATGAGAGAATTACATTTGACCCCTGCTTCACATCCACCTCTACATTCAAATGATCATTAGGTCTTGCCAAATCAATGGCACCATTGCCATTATCTCATTAGTCTCTTCATTTTTCCATCTCTATAGTTATAATCTTCCTTTTCTTCAGTAGCATCGAAGATACTTTAGAACAAAGTTCACATCCTTAGCATAGCATACAGGCCCTTTGTCATTTGACCCATATGACCTATCCATTCAGTTCTCAATAAAGGACCTTGCTAAGGCCATCCCATGCTCCAACTATACTGAGGACTTTGTCTTTTCTTAGTATATTAAGATCTTTTGTATCTTTGAAAATACCATTCATACACTGAAAAGCCTCCTCTCTATTTTATGTTGGACAAAAAAAATCTTATGTGTTCCAACTAAGATACTAACATTTTAGTATTATTATACCTGAGAAGTCTTCCTGAATGCAGTTCTTCACTAATTTCTCATTCTTATTCTGTTATATTGTCACAAACCCTATTGTAATTCTACCTGGAAGGACAGAAAAGACTTTCATAGAGGAAAGCATATAAGTTAGTGTCATGATCCTAGGGAAGATGATGAGAAGTTCCAGGGCCTATTCTAGATATTAAACACAATGGGAATGCCCATAAGTTGTCTGCTGTTAAAACTGCTTATGTATAAGATGTGTAACTGCTTAACTGCTTATGTATAAAATGAATCTTCTTCACAAATGTTCTCTATCACTTAGACCTTCCTCAGAAAGCAAAATCAGAGAATATATAATATATTCTACTCGGATTGGAGTCGAGCATCCTCCACACAGATCCTCCAAATTCCAGTAGGTAGGGGTCACACCCGCCACCTGGCCCCCTGGCGCCGTGTAATCCCATCAGCGGCCAAGACTCAGAGACTATAAAATCCAGCTCCCAGAACCGCGTGGCCGCATTCGCCGCATGACATCTTATCAGGACATCTTTTTATGACATCTTATTATCTCATTCCTACTTTGGACAAACTTGCAGGCTATCGAATGTAGCCTGCCCACAGGGCAGAGTCTGGCAAACTCCCCGTGGCGTACCCAATATGCCAAATCCCAGTAACAATGATGGGTCTCATTCTCCAAAAGAGCCTTGAATATAATCTCAGGGCTAGGATGAAAGAGACGTTACTGGGGCCTGCTCGAGGCAATCGACGAATAACAATATCTGGGGAGATAATATGAAGGTCATGATCAGTTGACCCTGATTCAATCCCTACCACCACAGAGCCTCTCAAGCATCTCTAGGTGTTCCCTGGAACCACAAGGCCCGAGCAGCACCACAGCCTCAGGCCCTAGCACTGACTCACTGCCCTAGTTGCTAGAGCACTGACAAGAATAAACCCTGGATCCCCTGAAAACCCTTCAGAAGCACTTCCCCAAAATAAAATAAGTAAAATAAATAAAACCAAAGTTGGGAAATCTAGATATCTGTAAACTGTTCAGACTTTATGGAGAGTCCCAGTTGGCCAGTAGGACAATTGAAAAGACTTAGACATTCCACGCAGAAAGAGGATCATGAGTAAAACCTGGGAATGAAAACTGAGACACATTAAATAAGGCAAAAAAGATACATACATATATAAAGAGCAGAGAATTAAAATGAAAAGAGAAACAGCCATAACAAGGGGGACTCCAAAACCTACCATAAAATATGGAATATTTGATTTTAATAATTTTGTTTTGAGGCCACACCAAATGCTGCATGGGGTTTACTCCTGGCTCTGCACTCAGGAATCACTACCAGCAGTGCTCAGGAGACTATATGGGGTGCCAGGGATGGAACCTGGATTGGCTATATGTAAGTCAAATGCCCTACCTGCTATGCCATCACTTTGGCCCCAGTATTGTATATTTTTCACTACAAGTAGGATCCGGGCTGGAGCATTAGCACAGCGGGTAGGGTGTTTGCCTTGCACGCGGCTGACCCAGGTTTGATTCCTCCGTCCCTCTCAGAGCCTGGCAAGCTACCGAGAGTATCCCGCCTGCACAGCAGAGCCTAGCAAGCTCCCCGTGGCATATTCGATATGCCAAAAACAGTAACAAAAAGCCTCACAATGGAGATGTTACTGATGCCCGCAAATCGATGAACAGTGAGAGGACAGTGCTACAGTGGAGTGCTACAAGTAGGATCCACAAAAGTTTTCTGAGAAGAAAATGAGACAAAAGATTGGCAAAAGAGTTATTTAAGATAGAGAGGAAAAGCTAATATATGAACAGAGAGAAACACATATAAGATGGAATGTGTAAGAAAGAGAGATAAAGCTGATATAAGGAAGAGTTAGGGAATCCAAGAGATACCACAGAGGTAAAGGTAAAGGCCCTCCCGTTGATCGTCGATTTGCTCGAGCGGGCCCAGTAACATCTCCATTGGAGACTTTGTTGTTACTGTGTCTGGCATATCAAATACTCTCTGTAGCTTGCCGGGCTCTCCGAGAGGGGCAGAGGAATCGAACTCGGGTCGGCCATGTTGGCCTCTTGTAAGGCGAACGCCCTACCGCTGTGCTATCACTCCAGCCCACCACAGAGGTAAGACTTGCATATGATCAGCTCTGGTTTGTCACTGGTATGGCATATGATTTCCTGAGCACCACTAGGACTGACGCCTGAGCACAGAACCAGGACTAATCCCTGAGCACTACTGGGTGTGGCCACAAGACAAACAAACAAACAAACAAGCCTGAGCTACATGAATTTGATTGCTGTTAATTTTCTCATCATAGTTGCAACATAAGTCACACAGTTCTTCAGGTACTGCAGATGGGAGGACTATTGAATTCTGACTATTAAGGCCAATAAGACAAATACAGGGGTCTATCCCGAAGAGGGTAGAAAGTAGGTAAGAGGGGAAACACAACAAACATGCTAAAGGATCCCTAGAAATAGGCTCTGCAACTTTCAAAACAAACAAACAAACAACTCTTTAGGTCAAAGCCATGAAGCAATATTTTGAATTTGCTCAAGTGAAATGTTCAAACTGAAAAGTTCCACTGTTTCCTCTTTATCAAATGGAACTTGCAGTGTGCACCCAAGTGTTGACTGAATGCTCACAGAACAGCTCTACACACACACACACACACACACACACACACACACACACGCACGTCATTATCTTGCTTCTTGCCTCATTCTACATTTTCAAATCTGTTCCCCACAGTGCTCCAATAAGTATGCCATTTACGTTTCATTTTAAGTGTATAACATCCCCAGTACCCATATCTGCTTAGACAATTTCCTCCATATGAATGCTCTTCTGTTACCTGTAAAAATTTTACTCATTCTAATAACATATGGAAGACTAACCACACATACAGAACTCATCACATTACAATGAAGTCAATTAAACGCATATGCTTCCAATACCAACCTGTAAGCTCCTAAAAGACAGCATTAAGCATGGTGATTGGTTAATTATATTGGGGAACCTGGAATTTATAATTTCAAAGGTATATATTTTAAGACCTACTTCCACCACTTTCTAATTTCTGTTTGTTTGTTTTGGTTCGACTTTTGGGCCACATCAGGCAATGCTCCGGGGTTACTCCTGGATCTACACTCAGGAATTACTCCTGGCATTGTTTGGGGGACCATACTGGATGCCAGGGATTGAACCGGGTTGGCCACATGCAAGGCAAGTCTGTTAGCCGCTGTATTATCTCTCCAGCCTAATTATCTTAGAAAAGCATCTTATCCCTTTAATTCTTAGTTTTCTCATCTGGAAATTGGGGTCTAAAACTTTAGAAATTTGTTGAAAATGGATTGAGGTAGCATATGCAAAGCAATTAATAATATTGCAACTTCTTGTTTATTTCATTGATATTTTATATCACTTTTGCATTTTAATAGAAAATTAATAAATGCTTATTTTATTATTGAAAAGTTCAGCTTAAGTGTCAGATACTCCAAGGAAATTTATTGGACTTCTCCTTCTTTCCAAACGACATTAATAATAAGTCTCCCTTCAAGGAATATCTTTAGAAACCTTCCACGTAATTATAGTCTACATAATTATAGGTATCACTGAGAAGCTTTTGTTCCATGACTATCCTATAAATTCATTTAGAAGTTTGAATAGAGCTGCCCAAA